GCTTTGAAAAACAAATGTTCAATGTAGCTTTACTTTAAGAATCTACATCAAATTGGCTACAAAATGAGCTATTAGGCAAGTTTTTTGGCTGAGTAGAAAATTTTTTATAGCCATTCTAGGGCATTTTTGAACCTAAACTTTGGGGGCTCAAAAAAATTTTTCTACTGAACCAAATGAGCTAATTTCAAAAATTTATTATAAAATATATGTATTATGAACATTTTTTATGTGGGTGACTTTTTGATTGGATGCCCGGAAATACCCTCATTCGTTAGCGGCTGAATTTCGTAAACGGCTACGACACATACATTGCCAAATTGACTTCAATTTCGCTAAACATTCACTAAAATTATTGTGTGTTTTTGAGAAGGGATCGAATTTTTACTAATCTCGAATTGTCATTTTCCTATTTATGTATCAAAATCGTTCATTTTTCTCGCTTTTCTTCACTTTTCACAAACAACTAATATCCCATTTTAAACAACGTATCTCTTTGCTCTGAAATACGTCATAAAGTTCTCTTTCTTTACAAAAGTACAATCTTTTCGGTGACTAAGGATTAGGAAAATCTAGTATAAAAGAATTGGTACTTGTCGGGTAAACATCCACAGAGAATCCACAGACTCAACTCGGTTAAGCAAAGAGCTGTGAGCTTGTGAGCGGTGATTCTGTTCAGTGAAGTAGCTCGTCTGAAGTGATCAGTCGATCAGTCGATCAGTCGATCAATCGATCAGTTGAACGAGAATCGATAGCCGAGAAGACTCACATGGAGATGCTTAACATGAGATGAGTCTTTGTGGATGTATAACCGACAAGTACCTTTTATTCAATACCAGCAGAAAACGCTCACTAACGGCCACGTTTTCCACGCAATCTAAGCCCCGTCCCTTTTTGCCAATGGCCGCGGACAGACAGACGGGCGGACAAACGTCTCTTCTGCTTTATATATACTACCATGCTTTATATATACTTCTAATTGAAGCACAGTCTCCAATAGAACAATTTTGGGAAGAGGGTTGAATATTTACTTATATAAACACGTCAAGTGCTCTATTCAAAATAATCTATCAAAGTTTTGCCTTGTCAAAGTTTCAATGTGTGTGTTTTTTCCTGTTTACAACACTTTTTGTTTTCTCTTGAGAATATTAGGCTTTGAAAACTTTATTCTATTAATTGTAAGCTTTTAATGAGTAGATTAGGAAACCCAAATCGTTTCCTTTGATGTCCAAAAAAGCTTTTCAAAAGAGAATTTCTGAATCGGAAACGCAAATCAATCGTAAAGATTTTGATGAAGTTTTCCTGACAAAGATTTAACGAAAGAGCCGTTAATTTTCTTTTCTTTTATCGGATTCTTTTCCTTTTGCTTGAGATTCAGTCCAGACGCTCCCATTTCACTGTGACGTAATTTTGAGAAAGCCAATCTTTTGGGATTTTTTTCGGAAATCGCTCGATTTCTTGTACTTGATTTGACTATTTTAAAAACTTGACTGTAACTTAAAACCTTAACCTTTCCTTTCATTTCTGAATTGCTAATGCGCTATCTAAAGAGTTATCATCACCTAAAGAATGCGTTATTTAGTATTTATGGGTAAATCGGATGTTTCAAAAAGTTCAACCAAACTCAACGTTGAAACAGCTTATGCAATTGCAATTTTGGGGGTAGTTTCCGCAAATTTTTTGCGCAACAGGGTCATTTGCACAACTGGGTCGTTTGTGCAACTTGCCATAACTTTCTTCTCAGTGGACCAATCTTTATGATTTTGGTGTCATTTTGTTACACTTATTGAGATCTACAAAATGAAACCAAAATCAGAAAGATTGGCCCACTTAGAAGAAAGTTATGGCGAGCTGCGCAAACGACCCAGTTGCGCAAATGACCCTGTTGCGCAAAAAAAATTGCGGAAACTAGCCTACCCCAATTTTTGTTCACAATTTTGTTCACAAAAATTTTCGCAAATTTTTCCAATTTCTCTGAAACTTCTCAATTTTAAATCCCCATTAAATCCATTTCAAATTTCATTCAATTATTCCCCAACAATTCTTCCCCAATTTTCGGAGAATCGATCGCCCAAGTGATCAGCTCAAAAAGTTCTCTCATCGATTGACAAATTTGGCGATTTTGTGCCCTAAATCCACACCCAATTCTTTTTTTGGATTCTTCATGGTGAAGATAAAAAGTTGACGTGAAATTCGGGAAAGAGCACATAAAATTGTGAAGTGGGCAATTGTAGGGGGGGGGGGGAATTATAAGGGGGGAATTGCAGGGGGAATTGCAGGGGGAATTGTAAGGAGAAATTGTAAGGATGTAAGGAGAAATTGTAAGGGGGGAATTCCCTGAACAACTCTCATCATTTCTTGAAATTTTTTTGAATTCTCCATGGAAAATAATGATCAAAAAAAGTGAGGAAAAGAGGAAAGAAAGTTTTGAGAGATTTTCTCGAGGTCACTGAGCAATATGATGCCCAATAAGGGTTGGAGGTGGGAAAAAAGGCTTTGTTTATGAATTCTGATGTCTTTGAAGTTGTTCACAGTCTTCTGGCGCAGATTTATGAGCTCAAAAGTGTTTAGGGTCAGCAAAAACATTCAGTACCTCATCATCAACATTTGGCGTTACATTGAAATGCAAATTTCAAATTGAATTTCCAAATTGCTAGCAAATCCCTTTACGATAATATTATCGTTTCGATTTCCTTGTTAATTTAATAACTTTTCATTCCTGATTGTCACTCTTTTAATCCTTTTCCTTTTATCAAAATTTCTAAGGATTTTCGCGCATTTTTTGAGTAAAAAAGAGAAAAAAAAGACTCCGCCTAATCATCCGCAAAAAAAAGCTGTAGAAAGAGATCGCCAAATCCGACTCGAACCTTCCATTTCTTTTTTTTTCTTCTCCTTTTTCAGAGAAAGATTCCCCTTATAATATTTTCTCCTTTTTCCGTTATTTGCTTGATTTTACTCTCTTTTTGACTTTTCTTTGACTTTTTTTGACTATCTTGGGGAAATCTCGATAAATACTCGATTTTATCTCTTTGATTTATCAGCTATAGACGGCTTGAAGATTTTGCAAGCGATCTATGGAATGAGAGAAATTTAGGAGAAGTTTGATGATGAAATGTTTGAGATTTGTCATCGTTACTCGATGATACAACAAGATTTAAGTCTTGTCAGAGTGTCAGTCAGAAAATGAACCTCATTACTACTATACTATAGAATTTTGATTCTAGTCGAGCTTGAAGTCAAGTAGAATACCAAATAAAAAGTTTCTCGCTTCAGTATTCAATAAAAAGATTCAAGTGTCAAGACGTTAGCCTCGAGTAAAGCTTAATGTGAAGATTTACTCACACTTTCAGTCTGATTTACTAGTCGGACTCACAAGGGAATGTCAACTGGGTGTCAACAAAATGCATAAGCCATATACTATTCGACGCAGAATTTCACGCTGATTCCAAATTTGCCTTCCGTTTCTGCCACAGAGTCCTCTATCAAAAGTTATAATGCATGCAAAGTTTTCGACAAAAATCAAACCGCGACATTACGGCCCTGTCTTCCGCGGGATCGGCGGTTGCATCGGTAGCCGGGTGGTAGTGGGTTGGGACGCGGGGCGAGGGATTTCGGGAGGGGTCCCTGGTTCGAGTCCGGTGGCAGTGATGGCCGGGTGGCAGTGGGCTGGAATACATGGCAAGGCCGTTGGAATCCGCCGTTCTACTTTTTTCTATACCTATGCTAGATGGCGAGCGATTACGCGGGCACACAAAGAACATCTCGCGATTTTCATGGAAATTTTTCTTTCGCATTGTAGATAGGTGTGAGTTTGTACCCAGGGGTTTTCGGGGTCGGGGAATCGATTGGAGCTAGTAATTTATGGAGTTTACCAATTAGAACTCGAGTTTAATTGATCAGAAGCGAGGGTGAAGACTTGAAATCTCTTTAAGACCATTTTCTCAATACTCAATAAGAATTCCTTGAAAGCCTTCTCGATTTTTTTCGCGTTTTCCCGAGTCGACAAATATATCAAATGAAACTGTTCATTGAAAAGCCTTTTTGCAAGAATGATAAAGGGCGCCAGACTGTACTAAATGTCTCAGCCGAAGCTTTATAATCATCAGCGGATCACTTTTCCCGTCTCACAAACCTACTCTAAACTACGAAATGATACAAAAATCACAAATACGCTACACAAATTACTCATCGACCCACTACAAAACTACAAAACTACAAAAACGATTTCAAAATCATTGTTTCCTCTAAAAATAGGCTCTCAAATCACGTGATTTGGGATCTTTCTAGCCTAGAAAATGGGAATAACTTTTCAAACATCCATCCAAACACAATAAGATCTCTTTTTTTTGTTCAATAGAAAAAGATATCACAAATAAATCTCTGATCCTTTTTGAGATGGATTGGCTGTGATTTCTGTTCCGTCAAACCTTGTCTTTTCTCCCGATTTTCGCCAAAGAACCACAAATTTTGTGGTCTGGATTTTGTGATTTCTCATCGTTTTTCCCTTACTCTAAAACGAGCAGATCTCCCTTTTTTTTGGGGTAAAATATTTAAAGATGAGCATTTTCTGGGATATCCATTTTTGATATCCATTTTGATATCCATTTTGATATCCATTTTGATATCCATTTTTGAGAGAATCTTCTCTCATGCATCGTGTGTTTTTTCGAGAACACGAAAGGATTATTCAACGCGATTACTTTCAGTAATATTTGTTTCAGTTTTTGTCCAGTTTTTGTCCAGGTTTTGTCCTGTTTTTGTCCTGTTTTTGCCTAGTTTTTGTCCAGTTTTTGTCCTGTTTCTTGATCATTTCTTTACTTTAAAACTTTACTTTTGAACTCGATTACTTTTGGAAATCTTTTTTCAGTTTTTCCCCAGTTTTTTTTGATCATTTGTTTACTACTTTCAAAATCTTTTACCAGTTTTCTTCAAAATTTTCAAATCATTTTCAATTTCGATATCTTTTTAGATATTCTGCTAATATTTTATGCGACTACGCAAAAATGCGACTGCGAAAAAGAGGTGAGTCTGCAAAAAAAAGGTGCAAAATAGTTTTAAACTGTGTTAAAATGTCAAATTTCTACAAAAGACAGCACGTCGTTGTTAGTATTGTGATGTACAATCGGTGCTCTCATTTTACGGCCATTTTTCTTATACTAAATAACAGTTTTCATACCATCGTGTAGCCCAATTGAAGGGCTGCATTTTGATATCAGACTAGCACAAAGTGGTAAATGGCAATGCCATTTGGCGTCATCTTTTTACACAGCAGCCCAATCTTCATGAAAAATCCACGAAGGAATGAAAAAGTGAAGGAATTTCCGAAAAAAAAAGAGAAAAGCAAGAGAAAATAGATTTCCGGAGATGGGATTGAACCCTTAACCTTTAGGTTTTTGGGCCCTAACCTCTAACCACTCAGCTATTCGGTACCTTAGGTATTCGGTACCTTAGCTATTCGGTACCTTAGGTATTCGGTACCTTAGGTATTCGGTACCTTAGGTATTCGGTACCTTAGGTATTCGGTACCTTAGCTATTCGGTACCTTAGCTATTCGGTACCTTAGCTATTCGGTACCTTAGCTATTCGGTACCTTAGCTATTCGGTACCTTAGCTATTCGGTACCTTAGCTATTCGGTACCTTAGCTATTCGGTACCTTAGCTATTCGGTACCTTAGCTATTCGGTTTGCCAAGAGAAAGAGGGAAAGACAAGGGGGAAGAAGAAAAGAAGAAAGGAAGAAGAAGGGAAGAAGAAAAGAAGAAAAGAAGAAAGGAAGAAGAAAGGAAGAAGAAAAGAAGGAAGGAAGGAAGAAAGAAAGAAAGAAGGAAATCCCCGGGTCTTCAGAATCGTGGACACTTGAAAATCAAAACCACGTGTATTATAAAGAAGAAGTGAAGGATGAATTGGAAGAATGTAAAGGTTTGGAAAGAAAGTTTGAAAAGAAGGAAAAAAGAAGGATAATGGAAGAATTGAAATGTATAAAGAAGTGAAGTGAAAGCAAAAAAAAGGTCGATTTCTGGAGATTGTTTTTCTCAGGCAAATTTCTCAAGCAATCATAACAAAGTAAAACCCACGAGGATGTTCTTTTTTGGGCTATTTTTGTGGTCGCCTAACAACGGGTAAAAAAGAAGTGTTTGAGGACACAAAATTGCTCAGAAAAGCGTGGATTTTTGAGAAAGATTTTTGGGATTATTTTGAAAACAAAATTTTACAATTTTTTTTTTCAAAATTTGGCTATTTTTTTTTTGGTGTGTTTTGTGCTTAAAATTTTAAAACAAACTTTTCTGGTTCACTTTTGAAAAGCCAACAACTTTCTGGTGAACTATTAAGTATACTAGGAAGGATCTGTTACAATTTTGAGCACAAAGTACATCACAAGTCGACTTTATGATATCATGCACGAATTTTTCAAAGTCCAAGGCTTTTTGGTAATAAAATTTGCACTGAGAGTGAAAGAACGAAGAATGAAAGGATTCTTCTTCTTGAAATCCACGTTTCTAACCTTTTTTTTTCCCAAAAAGATTAGCGATAATAAACCTTTTTGTTGTTTCTTTTATGTGATTCCCTTTTCAGTCTCATCTCTCTCATCTGGAATGGGATCAGTTGGATCTCTTGCTTCAAAGAGCGAAACTTTTCCCTCACCACAAGTTGACACACAAAACGGAATCGTTCAAGGGCGCAAATTGAGGCTCAAGGTTGGAAAAAGTGATGAGTATCTTGAGGATTTGTCAAATGAGTTTGTCATTTGTTAAATGAGTTTGTCATTTGTCAAATTTATGAGGGGAAAAAGGAGGAATAAGTTTTAGAATCATTTTTAAGTAAAATGTTGTTGATTGTTGAAAAAGAAAGCAAATCTTAGAGTGGTTTCCTTTGTGATACGTTTCAAGGAATTCCCTATGCTGAGCCACCAATTGGAGAACTTCGATTTCAGGTTTGTTTTTGAGAAAAACAGTTCATTGTATTGGAAAATGTTGTTGAAAATTGTTTAAGCTAAGTTTAAGCTTACTTTAAGCTAACTTTAAGCTAAGTTTAAGCTCAAAAATTTCACTTTTAAAGTCATCATTAGCATTCACAAGTCAGTGTTTCTAGAAAATCGTGCTCAAAATCAACTAGAAGACAAATGATTTCCATCAAAGTACCGTGTGTTTCTTTTAACTACTAAAGCTCTTACTATTAAAGTTTAAAATGAAAAAATTGAGATGAAATATAAAGAATAGATGATTTTCGATTAGAATAGACGATTTATGTTTTCAAATAGCATTTGAAATTTTCAGAAACCGAAGCCAAAAGAAAAGTGGTCAGGCGTTTTGAAATGCTCTCGATACAGGCATCGATCCATTCAAAAGGATATGTTCTGGGAAAAAGTTACACAAAGTGTGAGTTTTTCATGTATTGAATAGAACAATTGAACAATCTAATATCTAACAATTAAACAATCAACTACTATTTTTAATTCTAACATCTCAACTTATACGTTTAAACCTTGAGAAATACAAATGCTTATGCTTTAGACAAGTTGTTCGGAGGATTGCCTTTATTTGAATGTTTTTGCGCCAACGATTGAGCCTGAAAAGGTAAAATTTCTTAAAGAAAAGTAAATCTAGCTATAAAAAAAGATATTATCAAGTTATTATCAAGTTATTAAATTGGCAACTTGAAAGTTTGTACACTTATTTATTGCACTTTCTAGAAATTACAAAAGGGAATTACAGCTACGAGAATTACAGCTAAGGGAATGAAAGCTAACGGAATGACAGCTAACGGAATGAAGCTAAGGGAATTACAGCTAAGGGAATTACAGCTAAGGGAATGAAAGCTAACGGAATTACAGCTAAGGGAATGAAAGCTAACGGAATGACAGCTAACGGAATGAAGCTAAGGGAATTAATCTACAGTTTTACCAATAAAATTTTCATCACACTCAATTGAAGTAGTGTCCAAAAGAAGGATGTCTCTTTGATCTCTTTCGAAACTTTTTGTTTCATTGTCTAAAGTTTACGATGTATTTGGTTTGAGCGTATGACCCCAATCTTTACTCACAAAGAACATCATAATATTCAGTATCCATCCCATCATTCAGCCCAATAATAAAGGCCATCCAAAAATGACTTTCTGCTCTCCGATTAAATAAACCCAGGTACTATTTGGGATGATTGAAGCATCATACCAAAGATAGTAACCCATTTCTGAAAGGAATTAAGTAAGGGGTACTATTAGGCTGTCCAGAAAGTCTTTTCGTTCGTTTCATTTTGTAGGAAAATATTAGATTGGCAACTTGAAAAGTTTGTACACTTATTTATTGCACTTTTTAGGAATAACTAGTTGACCAATTAATCTACAGTTTTTACGAATAAAAAGCCCCCATTTATTCTCTAAAACAACCTTTTGACAAATTTAGAAAAGCTTCGGTTTTGTTGGTTTCTAGGGGGGGAAGAAGTTGAGGAACCAAAAATGATAAACACTCGATGAAGCGATTTGAGCACTTTCTTCCATATAAACCTAGTGTTAATAGAAAAAAAAGAGCATAAAAAGTTAGATAAGTAGCCAAATTCTCAGCTAGATCTAATCAATCGTTCTTTTTTATAATTCCATTTGAAGAATTTTCAGAAAAACTTCAATTTCTACTCAAATTCATTTCACTCAAGTTACCCAAATTTGCTTAGGCATTTCTTAAATTAGATTATATAATAGCATTTCTTAAATTAGATAATATATATAATAGCAATGAAATTAGATACTTTTATCTAGAGAATCTAATTCAATTGGCGTATTGATTACGTTTTATGGAACATACGAAAAAGTGTACCAACTTTCAAGTTGTCAATCTAATAATAAAAACAAATTTTTTTTTTAGAAATACCCAGTTGTTTACTACATTCATGGCGGTGGTTTTATGATGGACAGTCCGGCTCGTTTAGTGCCAAGCAAGATTTGCAGGTTTAGTTAGTTAAAGCGAAAATTACTCAACTTTTTTTAGGCAAATCGTTGAACGAGGAATCGTTTTGGTGACCGTCACCTATCGACTAGGATATTTGGGATTTTTCTCGACCGGCGATGAGGCTTGTAAGGTAAAATTTTGGTGAAAAGATCTTGAATTTCTATTGAATTATCATATAGAAAAGTGTAAAAAGTTATCTGCAAAAAAGCTAGAAAAGTTATCTATATAAAATGAATCATTTTCAGGGAAATATGGGCCTATACGATCAAGCATTCGCATTGAAATGGACCAAGGAAAATATTGGGAAATTTGGAGGTGAGCTCACTGTTAGAGAATAGTTAACACTGAGAGCTTTCACTCGTACTCACTAGAAAAACAACTTAACACATTTAAAATGACGATTTTGTGCGTACAGTCGCGTAGTCGTTACTATTTTACTGATAATTTGGTGTAAAGTCAATAAACTAAACTACAAGGTGGCGTGCAATTACGGAAACGGGGAATTTCTGGGAATTTCAGGTTCTGGAAACGGGGAATTTCTGGTTCTGGAAACGGGGAATTTCTGGTTCTGAAAACGGGGAATTTCTGGTTCTGGAAACGGGGAATTTCTGGAATCACTGTTTATTGTTAACAATAATCTTAGATAACAAATTGATTCTTTATCGTTTGAAAACAAGAAAAGTTAGTTCTTTTCAAAAAGATCTCCTTTCGCTGTGATACATGCTTGGAGACGATGTGGTGGCAGAAAGATCAGCGTTAGCGAAAGATAAGCATCAACGGTGGCAGAAAGATAAGCGTTGTTGGTTTAGATATAATCTTTATTACAGCAATAATAGTTGGTTCAGTGGTTGGGGATTGGGAGAGTAGAGACGACTCCACGACATACCCGGCAGCTCGTTCACATTGCTTTTATACAGAACTTTGGCGTTGGTCTTGCACACAATGGAGTTGAACGGATAGCGACGCATTTTAAATCTCGCACAGTAGCCACAAAGGTGTCTGGCTGGCCATTTCCATCCGTGGTGATCTCGATCACGAGATCGTCACGACAAGCGTCGAGTTCCCTCCAAGTCTTTTGAAGGGATTTCATCAAAGAATCAATAATTTAATAAGCTTTAAAGCATGCCTTGGCCTCTAGAACACACCAAACACTAAATCCAATCCCATCAAACGTCTTGAGATACCCATTTTTGAGGCTAATTTTCGTTGGAAACGGGCTCCTTTGTTGTGTAGGCTTTCGCGCACTTTCTTCTCCTTTGTTGTCCCTGCCGTCCTTTGACCTCGTCCTGGTCGATCGGGATTCGTTCCCAAGGCTTTGTAGCATTGAATTGTCTTTGAAACAACAGACTTAGCCACCATTAACTGACGATGCTTTTCTGGATCATTCTCCGTTTCTAGTTGATGATCATCCCTGTGCTCCGATTTCTTCGCCATTCTGAAATTTCAAACATAAAAGCAAATAAGATGTTGCCAAAAGCTTAATTGACAAGAAAAACAGAAAAAAACTGCCAAAAATTTGAGTACGCGCCATTAAGAAGAAAGCACCACTTCAGTTTCCCAATTGCGCACTATCCTGTAAGACACATTCGCGACGACGGTATTTTGAGCGTAGTACAGTTGCGTAGTCGTTACTGTTTTGATAATTTGATGTAAATTCAAAGATAAACTCAACTATTATAGTCATTCGATAGCTCTGAATCTTTTCTTTCATCTTTTCTTTTTCTTTCTTTCTTTTTTTTAACTAGTACAAAGTTATCAAGAAGTTTCAAGAAATAAATAAGAAAAGTTGTTAAAAAATTGAGTTGAAACGAAAAATAATCATTTTCAGTGGATCGTATTGTTGTGAATGTGTTAAAGCACAAATTTGTACTATTTCAGGTGATTCAAATGACATCACGGTGGTTGGTCAATCGGCTGGTGGAGTGAGCACCGATCTTTTGAGTCTTTCTCCATTGACAAGAGGTAAAAAGGCGATTACAGGCGATATACACATTCATTAGAAATTCAAATTTTCTGTTTAATCTTTGCTAAAAAATTATCTCTAGATCTTTTTCAAAAGAAAGTTGTGATGGGTGGAAATTCATTCTGTTATTGGGCGACGACTTCAAAAGAAGAGATTTCTGATTATTGTCGAATAAAGGTTGGTAAAGGAAAAAGAGCTTTTTTTTATTGAAAACTTTAGGCGCAAAAGCTCGGATGGAAACCACAAAAAGTCTACGATTCGCGTTTAGAGGAAAATGAGGATATGATGAGATATTTGAGAACGATTCCAGCTCACAAGTGAGTCGAGTTACACAGCTACAAGAGCTTTAGACTTTAGACTTTGGACTTCGGAGCTTTAGAAATAGAACTTTCAATCAACTAAAAACATTTTCATTATCTTGAAATTTGCCACCATTTGCCAGATTCAGATTTGCCACCACAATGCATATGAATGAGATTGTGTTCTCAGAGGCTCGTTTACCTTTGGCTCCCGTTCTTGACGATGAGATTCTGCCAAAACCGGTTTGTTATTAAATGAAATTGATTTAAGATAAAGATTTAAGATTAAAATAAAGATAAAGATAAAGATAAAGATTTAAGATAAAGATTTAAGATAAAGATAAAGATTTAAGATAAAAGGTTGATAAATCTATTTTCAGCTAGATCAACTACGAGAAGAGGCGCCCAAAATGGAGAGCATTGTCGGGGTGGGAGAACAAGAATCATTGCTTTTTGGTGAGTGGAGAAAAGGAAACGTAAAATATCTATTTATATCTAACAGTCAAATATCTAACAATAAGTTTACATGGTATTTCAGCTGCAATCGGTTTTCTGAAATGCGGTGAAAAAGATCTTGAACATGCGTTGCGAATGATTGCGAAAAAGTCGGCGAATTTCGGCCACAAAGTGAGCGTTAAGGTATAGCCAGAAAGAAGCGTGGAAATTTGATCTTTTGCTTTTTTTGGAAATCACTAAATCTTGTTTGATTTTAACACGCTTCTCTGGTTTTCTTTTCTTCAAAAAAATCTAACTCTTTTTTTTTCTAGGAAGTTTGCGATATTGTGAATGAATTATATGGAGAAATGGATAAAGTCAAAGGGAAAAGGGAAGAAGTTGCAAAACTCTATGTGACGGTGAGTGAATTTGAATTGAGCTCTGAGCTTTGACTTGAATTGAGCTCTGAGCTTTGACTTGAATTGAGCTGTGAGCTAATAAGAATTTTCAGCTAATCTCTGATGTGATCTCAAATTTTGCTTGTTATCAATATATGAAACACAGTCAAAGCCATGACAAATCGACGTATGCTTTTTCGTATGATTACACGAGTAAATGGATGTATGGATGGCTGGGTCTATTGGTGCCTTTTAAAGGTGAGAAAAGATACCGTATTCTAGACTTTTAACAAAAACATCTGTCGTTTCTTTTTTTGCCGTTGGCAATTTAAGATTTTTCGTGTTTTTCTCAGCAATAACTCTTCTATTTTGACTATTTTGACTATGATTCGATGCAGAATAAAATTGCGCGTCGAATGATACTAAAATTAACTCAAAATGTAATATCCATGCAAAGTTATGAGGCAAAAGGTTAAGCCCCGCTCATTATGGGCGGGGTTTAGGTTTTTAGCCAACAACTTTCCATGGACCTTATCTTTTGAGTTAACTTTGGTATCATTCGACGCGCAATTTTATTCTGCATCAAATAATAGTTAAATTAGTCAAAATTGAAGGGTTTGCGTTGAGAAAAACCTTAAATTGCCAACGGCAAAAAAGAGCCGACAGATGTTTTCGTTACAAGTTTACCGTATTCCTTACAAATAATTTCGACTTCGATTTCCATTTAAAAATTCAGACGGCACACATGCATCGGACATTATTTATCTGATGGATGTCAACTATTTCTCATCACCTTGGTCAAAGAATAAAGAAGATCAATCAATGTGCGAAATGACAGCTGATTATTTCACTTCTTTTATCAAAACTGGGTGAGTTTATTTAAAGAATAACCGTTTTTTTTAATATTATGGATTACGGTAACTGGGTTGGCATAGGCTGAAGATAACGCACAAGGTTACTTAAGCACAAGGTTACTTAAGCACAAGGTTACTTAAGCACAAGGTTACTTAAGCACAAGGTTACTTAAGCACAAGGTTACTTAAGCACCAAACTCCATAAGTATACAATGGATAGGAGAGTTGTCAACGAGTTAATTAGTTGATTAGAGTAGATTGGGTAGGGTTGACATGGCTTAAAATAGCGCATAAAGTCACTTTAAATCCCCATTCTCAATACAAAATCCTTCAGTTGAAGTTCAAAAAGTTGAGAAATAACTTTAGTAATCCGAACTCTGAGAAACAGCCGGTTGTTTGGGATTCCCTCTCAAAAGATGGCTCTTTGAACTACTTGTCGTTCGATTTAGAGCCAAGGATGAAAAATGAGGTAAAAAACAAAGCTGAATAGGCTTTTTTTAAGAAAATTTTCTGGATTTTAGAGCTGATTAATCTAGAAATTTTATAGATATTCAATGGAAGAATGGAGAAAGTCGAGAGAATTGCGGTGGAAATGAAAATGGAGAAAACCCGAAATTTGGAAGAAGTGAAAGCTGGATGTTCGGATGATGGGGTAAGGGAAAGACGAGGAAAAGCAAACAAATTCTTGGAAAAAAATAGAGCTCTCAATACTTTGATTTACAGATAGTCCATATTTCTCTTGATAACGATCGAGTGAATGAGATTGAAAATTCGATTCGCCCAAAAACGATCGAGAGCCAGAAATCGCGGATTTCTGTGGTAAGGAAAACTTTTGAGATTGAAAAAGAACATGACATTAAAGAGCATGAGATTAAAGAGCATGATTAAAGGCCATGACCTTAAAGAACATGACATTAAAGAGCATGACCTTAAAGAGCATGACCTTAAAGACCATGACCTTAAAGCATGACTTTAAGCTGACTTAAGGCATGACCTTAAAGAACATGACCTTAAAGACCATGACATTAAGACATGACATTAAAGACCATGACATTAAAGAACATGACCTTAAAGAACATGACCTTAAAGAGCATGACATTAAAGAACATGACATTAAAGAACATGACTTAAAGAACATGACCTTAAAGAACATGACATTAAGTCATCATGACAAAGACTCAAATGTTAATCAAATAAAGTTTCAGACTCGGCAATCAGTTGAAGAACAAGTGATTCGCCCAAAAATCGTCGACCAGTTGTCCCATCGAAAGAATTCGTTCAGTGAGAAGAAAAAGATTCATTCACCACCAAAATCCAAGTCAAACGCCGTTGCTCCGATTGAGTATAATGAGAGATTGATTTCATAGTTTTATTAGGAGTCTTTTATCCCAAAACAAAATGTCATCAAATATTTATCATTACAGTAGAACTATGTTATACAATTACCGTAAATACTGTAATAGTACCCCACTCACCTCGTACAGTCGCGTACTCGCAAAGGTTCATTTTTTTCAAAGCGCCCGTACTTTCAAAGAATGCGTCTTTGGTATCAAAAAAATAGCTGAAATTCAGGGCTATATTTTGATACCTAAATGCGCATTGTAGCAGAAACCAGTGTCGAGAAAAACTCGTTCAAAGCTAGACTACGCAACACTCCGCACCGTCATTATGGGGGTGGGGTACTATTACAGTATTTACGGTAGCTCTATTTGATAAACTTTGCAGTGTTTCTCTTTGGCGAGCTAGAATAGAACCGAGATAAAACTTATAGTTCCATCAACTTACAGCTTTGATTGTTATTTTTTTAAGCCTCCAAATGTTACCCTATTCTTTCTTTCTTGTCCTTTTTTTTGTATATTCAATTTTGCATTCCGGGTTCAATCAAGCATTCCTAAGTCATCTAGTTTCCTCATTTTTTTTCGAATTCTCTCGTTTTTTTTTATGAATTTTTACTCCCATACTCTTTTGTTACAAGAGTAGAGAATTTTTCATGCAAAAGAATGAAAAATTTGTGGAGAGAATAAAGGTTTGAAAAAGTCGGACTATCTTAAATGCAAAAAGAATTGAGATGGTGCTATTTGAACAGTTATAAGCTTGTAATGTAGCTTGAGCATCAACATGGAGGGAGACCTAAAGACCAGAAGTCGCCAGAAGAAGACGAGCTGCCTGGACAGCACTAGGAAGCATCAAAGAAGTCACAAAGATGCTCAAGAATCACCAGAGAACTCGGGCACACCTCTTCGACAGCACCGTCCTCCCGGCACTCTGCTACGGGACAGAGACCTGGGCCACGACACAGACCACTGAACGAGCCCTGAGAACGACGCATCGAGCCCTTGAAAGGAACCTCCTCGGGTACAATAGGAAGACGCAGCTCGACCAGGACCTAAGAAGTACGGACATGCGCCAGCTCTCGGGACTCAGAGATCCAGTGGAAGTGATTGAGAGAAAAAGACTCAGATGGGCCGGTCACGTAGCCAGAAGAACAGACGACAGATGGACGATACGGATCATAGAGTGGCTACCACGAGACCAGAAGAGGCCAGTCGGAAGACCAGCAACGAGGTGGAGCACAAGAGTGGCAGAGACGGTCAGAGAAAGGATGGCTAGACTGCAACCACCACCAGCACCAGCAAGTCGAAGACTTCGAACCAGGAACAATCAAGCTAGGAAACACTGGATGACAATAGCAAGGGATAGAGAAATGTGGAAGCAGGTTGTGATCTGCGCAAATAGGAACACCTGAGTGCGAAGACAGGCTAAAAAAAAAAAAAAAAAAAAAAGTAGCTTGATTTGTAATGTAAATCTCAATTTCAATTTCAATTTAAAAACTTGTAAAACAAAACTGCCTTGTAAAAGCCAAATGGTACCACCTGGTACTATCTTTCAGTCTTTCAGTATCCGGGGTGGCAAAATTTTAAGATCCGGTGGGTGTAAGAAATATATCTTGATGTTTTGATCTATATAATTTCTTGTGAGACCGTGTCTCGGTTTGGTTCAACAGTGGTCTTCTTGAAAACACACAATTTATCCAACTTTCCCTTATTAGGGCAACTTCGCTCAAACTGGAGCAATTTGGCACTATCACAATTAAATCAACACTTGAATGTGAAAAAGAATGATAAAGAACAAAAAAGGAGAATCACAAACTCACTCAAAAGCAAAACTTAAATAATGGGTTTTTTTAAGCATACAAGCTACAACAACCGGACAGCTGAATATCATCTAGTGACTGATTACGGTAGTTTATCCATCAACTTTGAATTTTAACTTGTATTGACTTTTTGACTAACTGCAGAGCAGTGGCAATTCGCCACAGTGGGGTAAAATTTTATATACGTTATAAGTGATTTGGTGGCAAATTCCCTTCAAATGTAAAGATATTCAATTTATTCGAGGTGATTACTTGATTACGTGATTCGAGGTGATACTCGATCAAAAGCGTAACTTCTATAAAAATTTTTTATGTCATTATTAGAAATGTTGATACTATCCTAGTTGGCGGGTCACTTTTTTTTTATTCAAAATCATTTTTTGGGGTAGTTTTATGTGTTGATATTTGGCCTCCTGGCCTAGAAGTAAATTCGATAGATTTTTACAAGTAGTATTCATTGTCACTGTTACAAATAGTCACTGTTGTACTTCACAAATTTATTTAATTATTATGTTTGGTACCACACGCAAACAGCGGTAAAGCCATATTAACAAAAAAAAAACATTTTTGCGCATTTGATTGGTTTTTGAAAGTTTACCCCGGATATTGAAAGAACCCCCCGGATACTCCACAAGTACCGCCGTTGTTAATTAACAAAAGCAGCCAAAAAGCTTCGATAACGCATTTCAGTTGTGAGTTTTTTTTACGATTTCACCTATTTTGGCTTTTGTTAATTTTACAGTTTGATCATTTTTAATGGACTCGTCCGAAGAAGAGAAAGAATCATCACTTGAACGTTTCTAGACAATTGACAGGAGTGGAAAGCTCGAAAAGAAGTAAGAGTTGAGGATTAAATTAGATGTTGAAAATGATAATTTTTATTTGTATTTTAAGATTCTTCTTTTAGAAGACGATGGAAGCGATAATGAGCGCTGCAATCGGAAAAAGCGCAACAAGAATAATAAAGAAAAACAGAACAAGGGGAAAACGCAGAAAAGGTAAAGGATATTTTATTTCAATGATATTTCATTTTCTAAAGATTCTAAAGATCATTTTGTTTAGTTTGAGGCAATATAAGAACAAGCAGTGAAAGATCGCTTGAAGACGGAAAACATTGTGGCCAAATGGAACGAAATTGCCGAGTGCCGAGTTGCTCACCGCTGCGCCCAAGGTTTACTGCATTAAATTTTTGGTGCTATAGTAGTTAAGGGGGGAACCAGTTTGTAAACACCGGCTTTTTCGAATTTGCCACTAGTTTTAAAAACTTTTTCTGCGATAATGAATTGCACTGAATCCATTGAAAGCATTTATAAACCATTCTGAACGACTTTTGATGCCAGTTTGAGCAATAATTCCTAGTGGAGCAACAATTCCTTAAAGAGTGACTCTCTTTCCACTGGGTTTAGAGGTGCGGGACCGAATTAAGAGGCTTAAAACCTCGGGAATCACTTGAAATAGCTAGAAAACAGTCACTAAAGCTTAAACAAATACCAAATTAAGAGTATACACCATTAAAAACTCTAGAAGCAAAAATTAGTGCGCTCTGGCTCAATAGAGATGAATGTACACGGATCCCCTCAACTACTATAGCACCTACACATGTGAACAAGGAACAGATTGAAAGTGTTCTGGCATAGGCTTTGTTAGGCTAATACGGGAGGCATTTTAAAAGTCTAATTCTAACGAATTCTTACCATTCATCAAAACAAATTACTCTTGTTAAACTGGAAAAATTCTCACGATTTCAAAATGGAAGATAAGGATCGCTTATTGGCTAAAGAACTCGAATCTTTTGGATACCCTGGGCCGACACAAATTCGACAAAATTTATCGAAAGCAAAAGATTTGAATCAACTTGTTGAAGCGATCAAAAAGTTCAAGACCGAGAATTCGTTGGATAAAGTTTTGGGAGTTGGTTTTCGAATTGTAGAAATTACTTTAGAAAAAAACCCAAAAGTGTCATTCGTTTGTAAAACAAAATAACGCACTTTCAGATTTCGTCTTTGGCACCAGCACTTCGTCTTCTGGATATGCACAATGTGAAACGAGTTGACATTCACGATGCTGTGAGTTTTTTGTTTTTTTTGTTGAAAAATTCAATCTCAAGATTGTTTTACGAACTGAAACAAGACTGAAACACGAAGTTTTTCAGGTAGCCGCCGACTTGACCGATAAATTCTTGCAACGACTGAAAGAGTTGGGGAAAAGTCAAAATCCTGAGGTGAAAAGAGATTTCAAACTTTTAACATAGGTAGTGTTTTAGGCTCAAAAGAAATTGGAGGATCAACTCGAGAAATGCTTTAAAATGTACAAAGTGCACCAGATTCGACCGATTGTATTAGAAACATTGAATAATTTGAGAAAAGTACCGGATAGGTTGATTAGAAAAACTGAACAATTGATACAGTTACCTTTTAGATATCTAAAAATCGTCCTTTGTGACGCCGAGCTCTATTCAGAGTGTGCGGTCTCAGTTCGGCAACAGATTTGGTTGAAAAATGACAAGCTATTCGAGGAGGCTGTTTTGCCCGTTTTGGAGAGTTATTTGAGGGCAAAACGAAATGTGAGTTGTTTAAAAATGACCAGATAAAGAAATAAAGGTTCTAACTATTAGGATGAGTCCTATTTGTTGGTATGCTATCTTCATTGACCGTTTTAGAAACGGTGAATCGCCGAAAACATAAACAATTTGTTTTACTGAAAAGCCCTATCTTTTTTTTTCTCTACAAAATGCTTCTCAAGTGTTTTAAAAAAAGCGCTCGTTTTAAGAAATTTCATTAGGCGAGAAGGCGAGTTGTCAAAAAAAAAAACAGATCCAGTTATGCGATTTGATCCCTTTCCTCTACAGAAACCTATTTTGTTGTAAATCGAAAAAGATAGAACATTAAAAAGTTAGGAGTATAGCTAAATTTTCAGAAAAATTCGTCGCACCGCTTTTTTTTCTTTTTCTCTTCTAAGAATTTACTTTTACAATTTACAAATTTGCATCATATCAGGTCAAAATTTCTTTTAAAATACCTAAAACTAAACACTTACCGTAAATACTGTAATAGTACCCCCCTCGTACAGTCGTGTAATCGCAAAAGTTTTTTAGTATTTCATTTTTTTCAAAGCGCCCGTACTTTCAAAGAATGCGTCTTTGGTATCAAAAAATAGCTGAAATTCAGGGCTATTTTTTGATACCTAAATGAGCATTGTAGCATAAACCAGTGTCGAGAAAAACTCTTTCAAAGCTAGACTACGCAACACTCCGCACCGTCATTATGGGGGTGGGGTACTATTACAGTATTTACGGTAGCTCTATTTGATAAACTTTGCAGTGTTTCTCTTTGGCGAGCTAGAATAGAACCGAGATAAAACTTATAGTTCCATCAACTTACAGCTTTGATTGTTATTTTTTTAAGCCTCCAAATGTTACCCTATTCTTTCTTTCAAAGAATGCGTCTTTGGTATCAAAAAAATAGCTGGAATTCAGGGCTATTTTTTGATACCTAAGCGCGCATTGTAGCATAAACCAGTGTCGAGAAAAACTCGTTTAAAGCTAGAGCTACGCAACACGCCGTACCGTCATTAGGGGCGTGGGGTACTATTACAGTATTTACGGTAACACTTTTTATTTTTAGCGATTCAACGTTTGTTTGAAGAAAACTCGCAAATTAAAAAAAATAATGAACAAGGGATACCAACAGATAGTATTCAACCTAATATAAAGCATAACTAGCTTTGAAGTTTGATTCATATCATTTTTGCTTTACCATTACATAGGTTGAATGCATGATTGAGCCATCGACAACCAACTTTTTCACTTCTGAAACGACAAAGAGTCGTCGACAGCAACCACAAGTGCAAAGTAGGAAAAATGGGGACTTTTTGAGCTAAAAATGAGTTTAGCTTTAATGCAAATGATCGGCAATCATGACTTGTTGTATGAGAAAGTGATCAGCATCATTAGAAATCGGTGAGATTTGTGTGTTTTTATCTATTAAAGAGTTCATGAGCATTTCAGCTACGCAGAAACGGCTGATGTAAACTTTTGCTCGTTGCGAATGGAATTGTTGATGGCAGCGCACGATATGAATAACGAATCGGCCACGAAAATTGGTGATCCACATTTTTTTTACTTGTTAATAATTTAATTTTTAATCTAGACACTTAGCTAAAGTTTTTGAAAATCAAATGATTTAACAATATTGTTTCAGATCCAAGCTATGAGCTTGCGAAATGTCTCGATGCGTGTGTTCGCGATAAACATATGGACTCAAATTTGACCTCGAGACTTCGAACAGTTTTGGAGAAAAAATGGGAACCTGAGGTTGGTTTATTGTTATCTAAGCTTGCTTTTATTGTTTTATTGTTATCTAAGCTTAAGTTTTGCTGCTTTTCTTTAAAAATAAAACTTATTTCTGCAGGAGTTGGGCGATGTAGCGATGGTCGCTTGGGATTCGCATGTTGTTCATTTTCTCTGCTCAATCATCACAAGAGTTTGAAAAGTTTGTGAATATCTAATTTTTAAGCTCAGTTCCTTCGAGAAGGCTCCTCATTACCCAGAGATTCCCTCAGCTTACAACTTTTGATCAAAGTTCTTGCACTCGGATCGCAAAGTCATGTAAGTTCTTTTAGATATTTGCAAAAGAAGCTGTGAGTCATAAAAATCATCATGTAAGGTAAGTAAGTAAAGATGATCCGGGTTTATTAGTATTCTTTGGGTAAATTCTTTTTAGATCATCAAAAAGAGAAAATATTGGGATTTCTAGAAATACTAATTAACCCGGATCATCTACTTATAGTTGTTGAGTTAGTAACTAACTCACTTACCAACCCTTCTCTAAAATAATTTGACACGAAACCAACGACGAAGTAACATGAAGGTCGCGCCGTGGCAGATGATTTAGATTTGCGTTTTATCTAAAAGGAATTGGTTAAGTTAAGTTTATACGGCACGTACAAAAAGATTCGAAGACAATAGAATAAAAAGAAGCAGAGAGAAACGAAGCAGAGAACAACGAAACACTTTAGAAATTTAAACAGAAAACATGGGCAGAACAATATAAAAAGAAGGGAACGATATACACTGTGGTGCAAAAGTCTTGTCTCACCCACTTTTCTAAAAAGTTTCATCAATTTTCTTTGATAAAGTTCATGGCGCTCTTTAAGCCATTAATAGTTTTAGTTACACAAATATATGTACAATTTATTTACACAAACGTTATCGCTATACAACACTTATTCATTGAGAAAAAATATAATTGTCAAAACACCCCTGAAAATCGTGGTGCAAAAGTCTTTTCACACAAAACGAAATTAAGCTTTAATCAACATTTACTCGCTCCTCCTTTTGCCAAAAGTACTTCTTTAATACGAGTAGGCATCGATGCAATTAATTCATCAAGAATTCCAGGTCCAATCGTTCTCCAAATTTTTCTATCAATGGCTTAAAGAGCGCTATGAACTTTATCAAAGAAAATTGATGAAACTTTTTAGAAAAGTAAGTGGGACAAGACTTTTGCACCACAGTGTATAACAATATAATAAGATATAAACAATATAAAAAGAAGGGAAGAGAGGGAGTACTTTAAAAACGCGCTATAAGAACATCATAGATTTTACGAAGGGGGAAGAAAACTTAGCGCATAAAACTAAGTTTTAAAACTTGGCATAAAAGCCGGACAACATTCACGATTTCATCATGGAATGCCGAAAAATTAAAAGAATGGCAAAAGGGGAATTTTTGTGCGGGGTACGGTAGCGTATCCACGTTTTAGAAAGCGCGACGCTGCCACCTTCGCGCCAGTCCCTTTAAACCGCATGTAGAAAGGATTCTAACTGTTGTATGATGGTTTTTATGACCCAAACTTTCTTTTACAAGTACCTAATATATCCGACTATGCTTTTATACTTGTATATAATACGGCTGAATCCTATCTAGCGTCCGGATCAGATCCGGAAGCCCGAATTTGATCTAAACTTAATTGTTTTGCCATAGCCTAGCCAACAATCTAGCCTATTAGGGTTATAGGTTAGTTATTTCTCAATAATTTTCCATAAATTTAGTATTATTTGATAGAAAATTAAATTCGGCATCGAATGATATCAAAATCACAAGAATTAATTTAGAAATAATCAACTTACTAGGAAATGTTGTTAACTTATCGTGGTTTTTGACTCGGGAAATAGCCTATCTGATGCAGTTTTTCACGCTGATTCCGAATCTGCAATCATTTTTTTGCCAAACGCTTCTCTATCGCGAGATATTTGGCATACAAGTTTTTGGGGTCTCTTTATGAGGGCGACGCACTGTATTCAGTCAATGGCCTCGGTGGTGTAGTGGTTAAATTAACAATATTCCCTAGTTAGAGCCAAAATAGGCTAGATTACCGTTGGTAAAACAATTAAATTCAAATCGGATTCGGATGTTCGGATCCGATCCGAATGTAGATCGGATTCGGACATAACAAATACAAAGCACCAAGCAATAATAATGTTTAGAACATTGTAAAAACATCGACAATTACATCAACTATCGCCGACTCGATATTTCTGACAAAGTTCATCCCATCACTGGCAAAAATGATCGTAGAAGATGTGATGAGAATTGAAATCGGCAAAAGTTCGGGTACGTTTTGAGATCAGAATAAGACCAAGAAGGAAAGTGTTAGCCGCGAAATAATTTCAGTGGACGTAAGCGAAGAGTTTGGCGTGAACAGTCTTCTGTCAAATGCAAGCGATACGGCCGTTACCTTTCTGAAAGCGGATGTAAGTTGTTTAAGTCTTAGATTTGAATCATAATAGCTAGATTTCAAGTTAAATACTTAAAATGATGTTTTACTGATGTTTTTCGAGGTGTGCGCCTCTCTTTTATGGCTTCATCAGATGATCGAAATTCTTCCGAATAAGAAAAGAACCATCGATTCACAAGGATTTCTTCGATACGCTGAACACATTATTGAATTCAAGGGAAAGGCAAGTTTTGCAAGGAATATAACTCAAGAATTTGTCATTATGGCATCATTATGACATTATAATTTGTCACTATGGCAAGTAACATTTTTGAATAAGAAATGTTAATCAGATCAGAATACGCATTTTAGTTGGGTGTTCGTGGTCCTTGGTGTCATCTTCTTGTTCATCGTCTAATCTCAGCCAATGCTTTCGATTCGGTGATTCAAGATGAAGCTATTCAACTTACGATTGTTAATCGATTGTTGATGGAAAATATTCAGGTGCTAAGACTCAAAAGAAAAACAATCAGCTTACCGTATTTACTCGAATAAAAGACCGGTCTAAAGAAATGGGGCTACCTTTAAGTCCCAATCCCCGGGAGTGGGACAAATGCGACCTTTTTTCTGCGCACCCGGACATTTGCGCACCTTTTTTTCCTCATCTTGCCCATTAGCGCACCTTTTTTCGCATTTCAAAAAAGCTAATATTAACCAATTTCTATTCCAAAAGTTGTTTTTCTAGGTAATTTTAGGGCGTAGAATCGAAATTTTGGCATATCAGAGCTTGTGGAATCAATTTGAAAGACAAAACGGCTAGATCAAATTACAGAAAATTGTCGATTTGTATCTCTTGTCGATCTCTTTGTATAACTCCTTCCGTTTGTTTCCACAAGCTCTGATATGTCAAAATTTCGATTCTACGCCCTAAAATTACCTAGAAAACAACTTTTGGAATAGTTTGGAATAGAAATTGGTTAATATTAGCTTTTTAGAGCTTTTTTGAAACGCGAAAAAAGGTGCGCTAATGGGCAAGGTGCGGAAAAAAAGGTGCGCAAATGTCCGGTGCGCAAATGGTGCGCAAAAAAAGGTAGCATTTGTCTCACTCCCCCGGTTTTCTATTTTTTTTTCAATCACCCCCTAGACCCCGTCTTCTATTCAAGGCCGGTCTTCTATTCAAGACGGTCTTTTATTATTTGCATTCACGAAAATTTTTAGGAAAGTAACCAGTGTTTAAAAAAACTTCTTTATAGAAATTTATTGTAACATTCAACAAAAAAATTGTGCTATTGAATGAAAATATAATATTTTTACCCTATTGGGTAAATTCCCTTATTCTTTTCCCGTATTTGAGTACGGTCACTTTCGCGCAGAATAGAAAACAGGGTACTGATCCGGATCTGATCCGGATGCTAGATCGGAGTCAGCCATATTATATACAAACCTCGAATATAAGACCGGTCTTCTATTCGAGACGGTCTTATAATCGAGGCCGGTCTTCTATTCGAAGCCGTCTTATAATCGAGGCTGGTCTTCTATTCGAGTAAATACGGTACATAGTTTTTTGTTTAGGCTGATCCAACCGTGAAATATCAACTCCTCCGTATTGTCTATCAACTCCATTCACATCTTGGATTGCAGAAAGCCACCGAAATTATGGAAACAATCGCTATTGATGTGAAAGCTTGGATTAGAAGCAATATTAAGCAAAAATTTAGAAACTTGGCGATTTAGAAGCTGGTGATAAAGAGAAATACGAGAGAGATTATATGAAAACAATGGATAGGATCACGCCAAAGGTTGGAAATTGGAAAGAATTTAATAAAAGAAGACTAGGGACTTGACATAGAGCTGCAAGGAAATTTATATTTAGATTGAAGAAGAACACCCTCCAACGCTTCCTCCAGGGATGACACCAGCTCATCCAATGGCGACTGGGCAACAGATGCATCCTGGGATGACACCACGAATTGGTAAAACTCTAGCAAATATAGATATCTTGCAAGTAGATACCGTAAATACTGTAATTGGACCCCATGGGGTACTATTTTTTCCCTCCCCCTCTAGGGTGGGGTACTATTAGAGGGTGGGGCACTATTAGAGGGTGGGTTACCATTTTACACTACTATTCAAGTTACCAAATCAGGATACATTCAAATAATTTGTTCAAAAGCAAACTTTTTCTTTAGTTTTTATTGGTTTTAACCATTTGAAAATTGAACAGCAAAACGAAACAAAAACAACTAACAAGCTAAATCAATAGAAACATCAGAATCAATGAATTCATCATTTTCTTGCTCATCAATTACTCGATGTCCTTGGAATCCCGTCAATGCGAGCGGTTCCAAGAGGTCCTCGATTTCTGCCTCTGTCCGAGCATTTCTCATCGCCTGTAAGTACAATAGACTAAAGAGAAGTCCACCGAAAGAGCGTTACAAGTATTCCGCCGTGATCTCATCACTTGCTTTTCTTCTCTTTCCAAAAAAGCAATAACTTTGATTGGAACTTTGTCTCGATTTTTTCGTCCATCGTTTTCCAAGGCACCGCGACAAAAGGGCGTAACTTTTTCCCATCGGAACGAGCAGTGAGCATCACGGATATATTCATCTTGTCGTAGCCGCGGGTGAGAACACCAACTTCTTTGGCTCCAACCGCTTCGATGCACTTGCTCGTCGAAGCATCCAGCCAAACTGCCGTCTCATCGCAAGCAACAATGTGCTTGTAGTTGCCTTCTTTCATTGTCTTGTTCAGCCTCAGAATGTGCTCGACGATAGCCTTCTCAAATTCGCTCGGCAGCTTTTGACAAGTTGTTGTTGGTGCCCTCAAAGAAAGTTGGTGGCGCCTCAAGAACGACTCCATCCAGCCATGGCTTCTTTTGAAAGAAATTTCAGCTTTTTCGAATCGATTGGCCGCTTCATTCCAGATAATCCGGCGTGTTACTCGTTTCTTCTCGGCTCGACGGTCCCGTATCCATTCAGCCAAACCGATATCAATCCCCTCCGAGTTCAAGTGGCTTCTAAGTGGGCCAAACTTTATGATTTTGGTGTTACTTTGTTGCACTTGTTGAGATCTACAATCATAAAGATTGGCCCACTTAGAAGAAAGTTATGGCGAGCTGCGCAAAAAATTTGGCGCAAAGTAGTCACCCCAAATTTATGGAATAAATTTAAAAATACAAACGATTTCTGAAAATACATGAAAATTTTCCGCTTTAAAAACGTTGTTTGTAATTACGCGTTAGGTGGGGGTGGGGTACTATTAGAGGGGTGGGGTATTATTTTTTCCCTCCCCCTCTAGGGTGGGGCACTATTAGAGGGGGGTACTATTAGATGGGTGGGGTCCAATTACAGTATTTACGGTATGTTATATCGGATTTAGTCTTTTATTGGATTTAGTCTTTTATTGGATTTAGACTTTTATCCGATTTAAACTTTTATCCGATTTAGATTCCGAGTCTAAATCGGATTCAACAATAGCTTTTTTCTGTAGTTGGAAACTAGCCAGTTTGCTTCCTATTCAAGTATTTGCGGAAATTTTCGTTGAATCGACCCTCGATTCCTGAAAATTAACAATTACTAAACTGTAACTGTAAATGTAAAGCAAAAAAAAAAGACTATGGTGAAACGGAGCGCAATTTGATAAATAAAAAAACATCAATGACATGATAAAACTATTAGATACATGCATAAGATTTCAAAAAAAAAAAAAAAAGAAAAGATTTTAACATTTTCATAAATTTCCAACGATAGAAACCTGATATCGATGAATGTTATAAACTATTTTAAAGTTGTAAATCTCCTCTACAAAATAGGCTAAAACGTTTGTGAACTGATGGAAGCATTGAAGAAATTTCGAGGCCGAAATGTGAGTGACCAAAAAGTGACCAAAAATGGGCACTTTTTGAAAACCCCACTTTCACAAGAGTTTGCTTTTGACTATATAGTGGAAAATGACGGCCCTAAAATCATTATCCTAAAAATATCATTCAAAATAATGAAGAGTTGGGATCATTTCATGGGAAAACTTTCTTTTTACAAGAATTTTTCTTTTTTTGTGAAAAAGCCGGTTTTTTTGATGATTTTGAGGATTTTGAATTTACGCTCTATCTAAATTTCTGTAAATGCATTTCCGTTAGACTTTTTTAATGAATTGATATATAGTTATCCTTTCTTTTTTTAAAATCTTCAATTTTGGGAAGCTAACTCGATTTTGACCACACTAAACTTGTCCCTAAAGTGACTCGATTCCTTTTTTGGTCACTCACATTTCGGCCTCGAAATTTCTTCAATGCTTCCATCAATTCACAAACGTTTTAGCCTATTTTGTAGAGGAGATTTACAACTTTCAAATAGTTTATAACATTCATCGATATCAGGTTTCTATCGTTGGAAATTTATGAAAATTTTTGAAATCCGGATTTCTTATGCATGTACCTAATAAAACTTAGTATACTTTTTACTTAAAAAATGGTTGAATTCGGCAAAAATTACGAGGCTTTCGTGCAGTGATTGCTTCTGACCTTGTTTTTGGTATAAAAAAACAATTTAGTGCAAAGACGCATCAGAAACTGTTAAAAACATGATTTACCAGCGCAGCAATTGTTAAAAAAAAAGTATCGTTGAGTCTAAATAGGATTTAACAGATACATTTTGTGTGAACAACTCGTAATTGCGTGAGTTATTTTGCAATCGATCAGCTCAAAGTTAGCAAAACGCAAAGATTATGTTTCTAGGTGTTCCCGGCCAACCCCATCCATCAATGACACCAGGACCTGGGAGATTTGCCCCACCCCTTGCTCGACCTCAATACATGACACCGAGACATTGATTTGCTTGAATTAGAAATCTTTATTTTGTGAATATACATTTCGAGATCATATCACTCGGCAAAACACAAGCACGTCTATGAAAGAAAAGGCACACTGTTGAAGTGGAATCAAAAACGGAGTCAAAAATGGAATCAAAAAAGAAACCGGTCAACAAATTGAGCAGCATTTAGGTAACCTTTAAAAATTGGTGAATTTAGAGATGACCCGTTAGAGAAAACACGTGATCAATGGAAGAAAAGGATATTGTTTTTACCCTAATAGTAGTGCACCGCAAGCTTCGCCTGAATTCCTCGAAATCTCGAAAAGCGCTTATCAGAACCTATCGATGTGGGGTCAGAAAATGTAGCTGACGATGAAATCTTGTGGGGGATTAGAGTGTTGAGCTTCTGTGAAAACTTGGAAACCGTAAAATCGTCATCAACTCGGCTCGGCGCGGTGCACTTAGGGAAAATGCGGTAATTGAAATGAAAGGACGTCGACTATCACATTTTAGTCGTTATGAGGATGAAGGTTCACAAAAAAAGGTCCACAAATATTGTCGAGTAAACAAATATAAGGCACTAACAACTTTTCATACAAAACGATTAGATCCCAAAGAAGTTCTCTTAACAAAGAAGTTCTCCTAACTTTTCTATTTTAGAAATTTAATCAAAAAGCTCAGAATTGAATTCAAAATAGGATGAAGTACCGAAATCTAAACTATGTAAAACTCTATAGTATAGATTAACTTTCGGGACGTAACCGTACTGTATCAAATTTTCATAGAATAAACATAGAAATTCGAAATCTATTCCATTTTTTACACCTCAACGGCAATTGGTGGTGGTGCTTTCGGGTTGTGTTTGGGCATTTGAATGGCAATCTCGTATGGTGGAGGAGGATCGGAGGGGACACCACAAATCCACAAATCCGCTGCCAATGACTCGCTCATCATTGATTCTAAAATTCGCCATTGATTCAAAGCTATTGTTTGCGTATTATTAGTGAAAAATGAAGAATTCCTTGCAATTCTTACCGGGCGTGCTTGAATCTCGTGTATTTCTCTGCTGTGTTCCACTCGATCGATCAACGTATTGACTGTAGATTCGGCAACCGAATGTCAAAATGAAAACCATGAAAAAGATACCGATTGTCACTCCGGCAGCCACTCCCGAAGAAATGGCGGGTTGTTCTGAAAAATGAGATTTGTTTTAAGGAGGTTATCGGACAAATTGATCTGATGAGATTTGATCCAGAGAGTTTTTCCCATTAGCAATCTAACTTTGAGCTCAAATATCTTGGTGTTGGGCTTTTCAATTTAAATATTCTTGTTAACATCAGATGCGCCAAGTCTTTCTCTATCGATTGGTATAAAAACTCTTTAAATTGACAAGCCCAGCCCCAAGAGATTTGAGCTTAAAGTTAGATTGCCAATGGCAAAAGGGACGGGTGACGGACCTTTTATACGCACCCCGCCCCTTTCCCATCGGCAATCTAACTTTGAGCTTAAATATCTTGGTGTTAAGCTGTTTAATTTAAATAGTTTTTATATCAATCGACAGAGGAAGACTTGGCGCATCTAATCTTTTCCAGAATATTTAAATTGAACAGCCCAACATCCAGAAATTTGGGCTCAATGTTGGCTTGCTAATGGGAAAAGAGCTGGGCGCGTATGTCTCATAAAATGATGGTTAAGCTGTTCTCTAGCTTTATTTCTGTTTCTACCCACTTTCCGGCGTTTCCGTGTCATAATATTTGTCCCATGTGACCGGTTTGTAGGTTTGATACGGCCATAGTGACTGCATATCTGAAAAAGGGAAATGAGTGAAACTTTTTGAATCCATTCAGTCTTTTCATAGAAATCTTTTCCAATTCTCAACAACTCACCCCCGGGCGTGCCGCCGGCAAAATGCGTGTTTGCCAGGATTCTCGCTTGTTCGGCGCTTGCTCTTCGCTCGTCAAGAAATTTCTTTATCTTTGTTGTATCGAAAGGAGTCTCGGGTGGACGAGCTGCATGCGAAGCCACTGAAAATGAGGCTATTGAAAAGAAATCTGGATTTCTAAATTCGATTTTCTTTGTATTAATGGTTCTTGGGGTTCTGAATGAATAAAGTAAAAAAAATGATAAGGAATTTCGATAAGAAAATGCAAAAGCAAAGCAAATGCAATCGAAACAATTTCAATAAAGAATTGCGTTTGTTTCAATGTTTTATTGAATATTTTAAATGCTATTATAAAGATATTTTGGTGTCATTTGTATGTAAAAAGTTTGAAAATCGAAAAGAATTTGTTTTGCTTTTTCTTCTCATTTTTTTTGCCGCGTATCGAACGGAAAACTTGATTTTTACAATTAGGAACCCGAAAAATCTCTCTCAAAAAGGTTTACAACTGAAAAAGTTTTATTAGAGTTATTAGAGAGTTGAGTCGATTCCAGTTGCGCTTAAAAAAAACCCTTTTAAAATATCGAAATCGATTCAAATGTTCGGGGGTGGGACAAATGCTACCTTTTTTTTGCGCACCTGGACATTTGCGCACTTTTTTTGCTGGAAAAGGCCTTAGGAAAGGTCGTAGAGCTTCAAAAATGTTTTCATAGGAGGGAATCGTATGCGTAGATTCCGAATTTTGACAAATCAGACCTCCCCGCTTTTCCGCAGCTTTTGCCTTTTAGCCCAAATTTGACGTGCCAGCGAGGTCTGATTTGTCGAAATTCGGAATCTACGCATACGATTCCCTTATATGGAAATATTTTCGAAGCTCTACGACCTTTCCTAAGGCCTTTTCCAGCAAAAAAAGGTGCGCAAATGTCCAGGTGCGCAAAAAAAAGTTCGCATTTGTCCCACCCCCAAATGTTCAACAAAATCGTTTTCTCTTTTTTTGGTTGTCTATTTTGAATGTCGATAAAATCAAAGTATCCGGCATTTCGATGGTAAACAAGGAGAAAAATTTGCGAAGGGATTTCCCCAATTTTTCCCCACTCAAAATCCCAAGAGTTTTCTTTTTACTTTGAGAGAGAAATCTGGCTTTTTGAACTACTTTTTGAATCGATTTAGTATCACTTTAAAACCGAAATTCATTTACAGTACTCAAAAAAGGACGCGAATTTCTAAATGAACGTTTTAACTTCAAAATTTCGATTTCTATGTTTATAAGAAGAGGAAATAAAGGAAAAAAAAAGGAAAAAAAGGAAAAATATAAGAAGATTTCTTCAATAACAAAAATTTGAGCATTGTATTGAGCAATAATTTATCGTGAACTGAGGAATTTGAGGAAATCTTAAATCCCCCACTTTGCTCAACAAAATTGGGGAATTTCTATTGTTCCCGAGAGGGGAAATTTGCGACAGTTCATTGAATTTTGAGAAAAGAACGATATAAAAAGAAAAATTGGGGGAAAATAAATGAGGAATCTATTCTGAAAAGAGATTTTATTGAATAGCAAATGGGTGAAATTAAATAAATTGTGTGGGTGGAGTGGGGTGGGAATTGAGAAAAGAATTGGAAACAAAAATATGAACATCATCAATATGAACATGAACATTGATATGTTTAAAGACTTTTCTAGGATTTAAACTTGCAAAATTATAAAATATCATCGCTTTTCTAGTTTGCAATTGTTTTGCAAACGGGAAACGTTGTCAGTTTCGTTTTGAGATTCGTTTCAAAGTCGCACAGCAATTCAGAAGAATTCTCTGGTAGAACTAGGGGAAAATGCTATCTTTATCTTTACAGGGTGACCAAGAATTACCGCAACAACTTTGGACAACAAGAACAACAACAACTTTTTGGACAAGTATCTGGGAAATGTCTAATTTATTTCAAAAGTGGCAAGTTTTATAAAGAGAATTGTAGGCCTAATTCTCGGCTATATTTCTCTAAAAAGAGTTTCCCGATTGGACTTATCCAACTCATTTAACAAGCGCTTGAATCAGCGCTAGTCTCTCCGGCGAATCTGTCATTTGGCCACTTCATTTCCCAGATACTCTTGCAAAAAGTTGTTGCGGTAATTCTTGGTCACCCTGTAGTTACAAAAATCAGAAAATCGCGATTCCGCCGCAGGAAAGGCGTGTCGCGACTTTGACATCTCTCCGGCGAATCTGTCATCTTGAATCTTTACAAAATTATCAATAAAACAGTAATGACTACGCGATTGTACGCTAAAAATGAGAAAAAGTGTTAATAAAAGGTTTACTTTATTGAATAACTATAACTTATAACATAAAAGTAAAAGTCAATGGTTCAAATAGTGATGATCACGAGGAAGTGAAAAGATTTCTATCATGATTTCTATCATGATTTCTATTATGAAAAAGAAAAAGAATTTTTCTCAATTTCTTTCCTGGTGTCAACACACCAATTGAATAGAAAAAAAGGAAAGTAAAAGAAAAGAAAAAGAAAAGAAAAAGAGAGAGAGAGAGAGAAAACCAGCATTTTATATCTATTCTTTTGTATTGTGGTTTTGGGTGCCTTTTTGCAAAAATCGAGAAAAGAATGAGGGAAAAAGATAAAATTTTACTCTCGAGTAGGCTTGTACTAGTGAAAAAAAAAGAGTTGGGTGACTTAATTCTATCGATAAAGTTTATATCACAACAAGATTATATATTGAATGCACTGAAATTCTTGTTTAACTTACAATACCCTTGGTTTACCGAGAGTAAGGGTACTTACTTATTTTCCTTTATGTGAAAGTACCCTTCTTTCCCTTCCTTTATGAGAAAGTAGCCTTCAACCAGTATAGAAAGTCTGGGCTCAAGTTTTTGGTGATTGAAGTCGAATTAGACACCATTTTTGCTTAGTGAACAAGAGAATAAACAGCAAAGGTACTTTTATGTGTTTTAAACTACAGAAACTATCGACTTTTATCTGTACGTTCTTTTCGGCGACGATCTTCTCGAATTCGTCCTTAAATCCTTAAGCAGTAAATACAGATAAAGGAATCTCACTCTACTAACAAAGTAGAAATAAAAAAAAGAAAAATGAATCAGAAATGAATCAGAAATGAAATCAGTTCCGAGGGAATACGGTAAATAGGAGATACTTTAGGAAATAAGCAAAAAATACCTATGCAATGGTATCAACTGAATAGACTGAATATTTTATATTTATGCTGAATTCTATATAAGGCGAGAGGGATAGTTAAAAGATCGGGAAATTCTTTTTTTATTCCATATATGAGAATTCCATATAAGGGGTGATGATTTACACAAATTTACGTTCTCTTTCGTCGGCAACAAAAATTTCCCTCCATATAAGGGGGGGCTCGTATAACTAGCAGACTGGAGCAAGTTTAAATGCCGAAAACCTTAATCGAAATCGGAAGTGTTAAAAAGCGCAACAAAAAATACCCAAAAAAAGCGCAAAAATTCGAAACTCGTCTCACTACTGATTGGCGATATCGTAAAGGGAAATTTTCGGAAGAGATCCATTAAAAATTTCCCTCAAATTTTCTCCTCTTTTTGGCTAGAAAAAAAATTTGAAAAATGAAATCGAGAGAAAATTTGAGATTTCAGGGACAAAGACAGTTTTTGGAAAAAGGGGAAAAATGGAAGGAAATATAAAAATCGAAAAGGGAAAATAAAAGGAAAGAAAGGAAAGAAAGAAAGGAAAGAAAAGAAAGAAAAGAAAGAAAAGAAAGAAAAGAAAGGAAAGAAAGAAAAGAAAGAAAAGAAAGGAAAGAAAGGAAGGAAAGGAAGGAAAGGAAGGAAAGGAAGGAAAGGAAAGAAAGGAAAGAAAGGAAAGAAAGGAAAGAAAGGAAAGAAAGGAAAGAAAGGAAAGAAAAAGAAATAAAAAGAGATCTTCTTCCTGAAATTTTTCAAAAATTATCTAGAATCAACATTATTTTGGTGGTTTTTGATGAAATGGGATCAATTTTTTGAGGTGTGATTTGTGAAAATGACTCAAACACTCATAAGCACAGTACACTAGAAAGGATATGTTTCCATTTCTGAGCACAAATTTCTTCACAAGTTCAATTAATTTTGAAAACTTACAATTCTTGTAGTATTGCATATTCGACATTCCCCACATTGGAGCCATTTCTTCGGAATTTCAGGGGAAACTTCAAAAATGTGAATAATGATTTATGTTTACTGTAAAACAGAGGTGATTGCTTATATATAGGAGGAAAGACGAGTTCGAAAGCGTTTTTTTTTCCACGTATTTTCCTATAATTTCCCGGGAATTCTCTGGATTACGAGCTTTGTTGGGTAAGCAAATCCCTGAGAAATCATTCTATTTCGGAAAAATGATGACGCAAAAATGGGTGAATTTTGGATGATATTGGAAATGAAGACGTAACACATTCAGACGTTTCATCGAAAAGAGTTTAAATTGTTTTTTTCTTTGAAATGGGTATTTACAGTGGTCCACAAATGTATTGTCCCATTGCCATCCAAAAGTTTCTTTCGTACGAAAATCTTGCAAAATAACGATATTACCAAAAAGTGTAGGGTATTTTGCTTACCCAGAATACTTTACTTTTCAGGATTATAAGATTTATCCGTATACATTGCAGAAAAATTAAAGTATAAAACAAAAGCAATAAGTTACTTAATAAATAGCTCCACAAAAGTAATGTCCCATTTGCAAAGAATTAACAATTTTCTCAAAAAATTAATATTTGCCTGGTCCTCCTTTTGCTTTTATCGCTTCATTGAGTCGATCCGGCATGAAATCCACGAGATTTTTCAAAAGACCTGGGCGGATGGTGGCCCAAAGACGTTGAATGTGAACCCATAAGGCGGCCTTCGAATCGAATTTATTTCCCTTGAGGCGCGACTTCACAAATGACCACAAATATTCAATTGGATCGAGATCCGGTGAGTAGGGAGGTGGATTGATCAATTTAACACGATTTTCCGCAAACCATCCGGGCAGACGAGCTCTGGTACCATTTTGAAGTGTCACCAACCGTCCCATCATCAGTCTCGACTTGTGTTTCGGATCATTGTCCTGGTGAAGCATCCATCCGGGAGGCATCGTTTGATTGGCAAAGGGAAGCATTTGGGTCTCCATAATATTCTTGTAAGCCACAGCATCCATCGTCGAGTTCACGTAGACTAACGGACCTACTGAAGTTCGAGACATCGCTCCTAAAGAAAAAAATTTAGGTAACAAAATACTAAAAAGGTTCTTACCCCAACACATTATGTTTCCGCCGTTGAATTTCACGGTAGGCCGAATGTACTTGAGTGCGTATCGCTTTCCAGTCGGTCGCCGAATAAGATGGTTTCCATCCGCGTGAAATAAATTGATTTTTGTCTCATCGGTAAATAACACTTTCGCCCAATCACGTGTCGTCCAACTTCGGTAGGTCCGTGCAAAGTCAAGGCGCTGCTTCCGGTGCTTAGATTTTATCAGAGATTTACGGGCAGCCCTTCTTGCATATCATCCAGCTTGGTTTAATCGTCATCTGATCGTTTCTGGTGATACAACCCTGCTAAATTGATCCCTCATCATTTGGCTTCCATCGGTTGGTGTTTTGTTAGGATCGTTTTTCACCATTTGGATCACGGCTCGATCTTCTTTTGTGGTTGTGATTGGTCGTCGGCCACTCTTGAGGCCTCGGTGAAGGTTTCGGTCGACTTTTGATTGAGAAAGAATGCGGCGCACCGTCCTTTTCGAGCAATTAAAGAGGTTGGCCACATCCTTTTCCCGCATCCCATTTTCCCGGGCCTTGGCGATTCGGAGTGTCAAGGTTTTTCTTGCCATCTAAATAATAAAATAAAATACATTTAATGTTCATAGAACTCGAAAATAAAAAGAATAATCAAGGAAAACATCAATGGGACATTACTTTTGTGGAGCTATTTGTTAAGTAGCTTATTGTTTTTGTTTTATACTTTAATTTTTCTGCAATGTATACGGATAAATCTTATAATCCTGAAAAGTAGAGTATTATGGGTAAGCAAAATACCCTACACTTTTTGGGAATATCGTTATTTTACAAGATTTTCGTACGAAAGAAACTTTTGGATGGCAATGGGACAATACATTTGTGGACCACTGTATATATTGGATTGGTGAATTGAAAACCGAAAAACTATTGTCATATGTGACAGTTTGAGCACTTTCTTCAAAAGAAACCCATTTTGGTGTCAATGGAAAAGTTGTAGAAAATCAAAAATCAAGCTTATATCCAAATTTTCAGGACGATTCAAAAACTGGTTTTCAAGAAATGCCAAATTTACCAATTTTCACAAAACTTGCATTTTAAGCGAAACTACTAAGTGTATCTTTTTGGAGATTTGGCTATAAGCCTAATTTTTGATTCTCTACAACTTTTCTATTGACACCAAAATGGGTTTGTTTTGAAGAAAGTGCTCAAACTGAGACACTGGGACATCTCCAGTCCTCCATTTTTGAGTCTCACACTTGTCTCACACAGAAACCAAAGTCCTACCACGAAAGAGGAATCCGCAAATTGCCTGTAAAATTGGCAAAAGTCGTCAATAATAATGGAAATTATTTCGAATGAATTTATGGTTTTATGTTCAATAAATTTTAGTTCAAAGTCCGGCAGTTTTCAATTCACCAACCCAATAGATCACTTTATTCAGGACCTGAAATAAAGTGCACTAGATTTAAAGATTAATACACATGAATTCATGAATACATAACACGAAAAGGACCAATAAAAAAGCAATACGATATAATGCATGTAATATATGGGTAGCACAGATGCCACAGATAACGTCAAGAATTCACTAGAGCTTCAAGATCAAGATCATCTACAGATAATTTCAAAATTTCGAGACTATTGGACTCTCTCAAAACTTTGGGAAGTTGATTCCAAATTCTGGCAGTTCCTATTGGAAAAGAGTTATACACAAATCTATTGGAGGTGACTTTCTTTTTCTAATTGATTTCTAAAATGAAAGAACCTTGAATTAACCGTGGGATTAGTTTGAAAGAATTATAATATAGTTGTGCAATTTAAATAAAATAATTCAAAAAGTCAAAGCTGAGTGGCACTACAGGGGGTCGAACCCAGGCAGACAGGCGCGATAGGGGACCGTAGACAAGCGCGCTCCCGACTATGCCACGGCGACAAGCGGTGGAGACCGCCGTTTGACGGGTTAAAAGATAAAATCAGCTTTGCAGGTCGTTTTAACCTTGGGTATTTCAGCTAGTTTTCGTTTGGAAGGATGCAGAATTTATAAAAGAAGCAGAATTTAAGACTGAGGACGAGAAGAAGAAAACCGGCAGACAAAGGAGGCTGACGAAGAAGCTGTAAAGAAGAGGAGAAAAGGGGAAATAGCTCAGTCGGCTCAGTCGCTCACCGCTTCTACCCCTTTACGGAGGGAAACCTTATATACCAGAGGAGTATGCCAGATGGCGAGCGGAAGTAAGAAGAAAAAAAAAACAAAGAACACCTCGCCAGTCATTTATGGGATTTCTCTTTTGCTTTGTAGATGATACAAAAAATATTGAGCTGTAAATTTGTACTCGGGGGTTTTCGGGGCTGGGGAATCGATTGATCGATTATTCATTTTCATTAATATCAATGAAGCGATTTCCTTTAATCATTTCTAGATCATCAAAAATTCATCAAAAAAGCCGGACACTTGAGTTATATTCTTCTAAAAATCGCACACAGAAATGTAATGTTTTGAAATTTGAAATTAAGAAAAAGGATTTTAAAAGGCAAAGTTCAAAACTCGAAACACTTACCGATGTTAATTGTCCAATTCATTTTTTGAGTGTCGATTGCGAAGGGAAAGTGACCTAAAGTGATTTCCTGGTGTGACCTAAAGTGGTAACGAAAAATGTGGAATAACACAAAATGAAAGAGCTGAAAAAACAAAGCAGAAATAGGACCTAAATAGGAACTGAATAGGAACTAAATAGGAACTATACAGTAACCAAATAGGAACTAGATAGGAACTATAAAGGAACTAAATAGAACCTACAGTACTGGACAATGAAATATCAATTGAAAAAGATCGTCACTTTCGCGCGTCTGTTACTCCCTTGTCTTTGAGTTTAAACTATTAGTGATATACATTTTCTGAGAGCTCTTTTCAAGGGCTACACAATGGTAATATTAATATTTAGAAATACGGTAAAGACAAGGGAGTTACAGACGCGCGAAAGTGACGATCGTTTTTCAAATATGATATTTCATTGTCCAGTACTGTAAATAGGAACTGAATAGGAACTATACAGTAACCAAATAGAAACTATGAAGAAACTACATAGAAACTAAATAAGAGCTAAATAGGAAATATAAAGGAACTAAATAGGAACTAAATAGGAACTATACACTAACCAAATAGGAACTATTAGGTTGATGCATAAGTCTTTTCGTTTTTTTCGTACTTCTGTTAAAAAGTAACAAATTCACCAATTAATCTATAGTTTGCTCTATAAAAAAAGTGTTTTTTTGTTCAATTTGCATCTTTTTAAATGAATTTCGGTTCACTTTCAAGCAAATTCGAGAGTGAAAAACGCCTTTTTCGTAAAAATCTATAAAAAACTCTACGGAAAAATTGGCTGAATGAATTTCTCTGAAATTTTGGCGAAATATCAAACGTTTTTTTTCTCTATCTTTTATCTATTGACACGAAGATAGGTTTTCTTTAGCTAAGGTGTCTAAACCGCATCATCGAGTTAGCCCTTTTTGACTACCCGACTTCATACTCTCAAGAAAATCCAGGCATTAAATATTTTTAAACCCGTTTTAATGTTATTTTGCAAAAAAATAATTGCTTTTTCTAATGAAATCAACCGTAGTTTAATTGGTGCATTTGTTGGCTTGAAACGGCAGACGAAAAGGAACAAAAACACTTATGCATCAACCTAATAAATAGGAACTATACAGTAACCAAATAGGAACTAAATAGGAACTATAAAGGAACTAAATAGGACCTAAATAGGAACTGAATAGGAACTATACAGTAACCAAATAGAAACTATGAAGGAACTACATAGAAACTATAAAGGAACCATATAGAAACTAAATAAGAACTAAACAGGAACTATTTTTCAAGAAAGCATTAAATATTTTGAAAAGTATTCTTCGCTTCTCTTTGCCT